TTCTTCTGTTTTTAAGGCTGAATAGCACTCCGTTCTGTATATATACCACATGGAAAATGAGTTTTGAATTACAAAAGCAATGATGAGAACAGGTTCTTCTTGCACTCAATGAGACATTACAGATAAGACAAGGGTTATCCTTGACATTCCTGCTACCCCACCTAATCTCCCTTTCTCCAAGGGGGCCTGCAGAGATACTGATTTGTCATCTAACTGTCTGTCTGTTTATCAGTCTATCTACATATCTTTCTATCATCTCTCTCCTTTTATACTCCATATATTTTTTGTCCTGTGGTATTTACATTTATGGACATTTCGGAACATGTTTTTTTTCCCACTTAATAGTGTGTCTGATAGCTATTTTTTCTGAGTGCTGAATAGCATTCCATGTTTTATTTGTCCCATCCCTTTCTTGAAGACACTTGTATAAACATTTCCAATCATTGTAGATATGGTCAATTTGCCTTCCAGAGTCTCTGTACTGATTTACCTTCTGGCCTGCATTGTGTGACAGGACTACTGATCCTCATTTTCTCCTTTAGTGTAGCTCTACAGTGTTCCAGTCTGTGGATGTTTGTTGCAGGAAGTCAGGGACCCTGAATGGAGGTACCAGCTGGAGCCCCAGCAGAGGAACATAAATTGTAGAGATTTCATTTTAATATGGACATTTATTAGTTCCCAAATAACGCTTTTATAATTTCTTACGCCTGTCTTTAATCTCTTAATCCTGTTATCTTCATAAGGTGAGGACGTACGTCAACTCAGGATCATTGTGATAATTGTGTTAACTGTACAAATTGATTGCAAAACATGTGTGTTTGAACAATATGAAATCAGTGCACCTTGAAAAAGAACAGAATAACAGCAATTTTTAGGGAACAGGGGAAGACAACCATAAGGTTTGACTGCCTGCAGGGTTGGGCAAAAAGAGCCATATTTTTCTTCTTGCAGAGAGCCTACAAATGGACGTACAAGTAGGGAAGATATTGCTAAATTCTTTTCTTACCAAGGAATATTCATACCCTGGGAAAGGAATGCATTCCTGGGGGGAGGCCTGTAATGGCCGCTCTGGGAATGTCTGTCTTATGTGGCTGAGATAAGGACTGAGATTCACCCTGGTCTCCTACAGCACCCTCAGGCTTACTAGGGTGGGGAAAACTCTGCCCTGGTAAATTTGTGGTCAGACCAGCTCTCTGCTATCAAACCCTGTTTTCTGTTGTCTAGGATGCTTATCAAGACAATACGTGCACTGCTGAACATAGACCCTTATCAGTAGTTCTGCTTTTGCACTTTGCCTTGTGATCTTTGTTAGACCCTTATCAGTAGTTCTGCTTTTGCCCTTTGTCCCATTCCCTCAGAAGTGATCTTTGTTAGACCCTTATTAGTAGTTCTGCTTTTTACCCTTTGAAGCATGTGATCTTTGTACCTACTTCCAGTTCTTACATCCCCTCCCCTTTTGAAATCCTTAATAAAAGCTTGCTGGTTTTGAGGCTCAGGTGGGCATCACGGTCCTACCAATATGTGATGTCACCCCCGGTGGCCCAGCTGCAAAATTCCTCTCTTTATACTGTCTCTCTTTATTTCTCAGCTGGCTGACACTTATGGAAAATAGAAATAACCTACATTGAAATATTGGGGGTGGGTTCTCCCAATAGATATTTATCTAAACGTCTCCCTATCCATGTATATTTGGCTTGTTTCATCCTTTTGCTATATTAAACCTGTGCAATTGGCGTGTGTCTACAGTGACCATTGCTCATATGTGTAAGCATCTCTGCAGGACAAATTCCCAAAAATGCAATTGATGAATCAAGGACCATTTGCATTCTACAATTCTAATAATGATTGCAAATCCATTTCTATATTTGCTGAGTTTGATGGCACAAGCTTTCCCACAAATTTGCCAATAGTGTTATTGGATTATTAAATTTAAAATTTTTGTCAGTCTTCACATTTCATCTTTTAATGAGCATTTTCTTAAATAAGAGTGAGAAAGAGCATCTTTTGTCCAAGTTGATAAGCCACTTACTTTCTTTCTATGGGAGTGGTCATCTTATATTTTCTGCTGTTTTTCTTTGGGTTCTTTTTTCTTATTTACTTATAAGAATGTGTATCACAATTAATGATTTTTTTCTGTCTTTTGTTGCAAAAGATTGCCTTTTGACTTTTTTTGGGGGTGCTTTTGGTTAATTTTTATGAAGTTACATTTGTCCATATTTTCTTTTGTATCACACTATCCATCTATTTCCCAGAGCTTTGTGGGGCTTTCTTTAGCAGATGGGAAGTTTTCACTTATTCACACGTCTGTCTCTGACCTTTTTAGTCGTTTGAATGCATCCTTTTTTATGGCATTGCCATAGTATTTTTATTACTGTGACTTTTTTTTTCTTTTTGCTTTTTTTGAGATGGAGTCTAGCTGGAGTGCAGTAGTGCGATCTCGGCTTACCGAAACCTCCCATCTCCCGGGTTCAAGCAGTTCTCCTGACTCAGTCTCCTGAATAGCTAGGATTACAGGCACTGTCCACCACGCCCAGCTAATTTTTGTATTTTTAGTAGAGACGAGGTTTCACCACGTTGGTCAGGCTGGTCTCAGACTCCTGACCTCAAGTGATCCGCTCACCTCGGCTTCCCAATACTGTGACTTTCTAATAGGTTTTAATATCTGGCAGAGTGGCTTTTTTTGTTGTTGTTAAATCAACCCTTACAAACATTTGTTGTATGGTAAAGTGTATGTTTTATTTGGATTGAGGGAAATTTATAATGAAATACAGAGATTTCATGTTTCTTTTTCAGTTTAATCCAGGTATTTTATATTATTTTGACTAGTATATTTTCTTTTATTATGTTTTCAGTTGATGGTTATTTCTACATGGTAAAACTAATGATTTATGCAAATAAATTCTGTGCCCAATGAACAGAGTACATGCTAAAGATGATGTTGTGTATCAAGAGAAAAAATACAGATAATTAAGTAAAAGTTCTTGGGACAACTGGAAAGCCTTCTGGAAAAAAGGCAACTGAACCTGGTTCTCATGTCTTATGACAAGATAACGTTCAGATTAATCATTTTTTTCTAAAAGAGTCCTAAAAGCTCTAGAAGGAACCATGAGAAAATTATTTCATAGCTCCAGAGTAGGGATAACCTTATTTTGACATAAATCCCAGGGGCTATGAAAAAGTGATACACTGTTAAATGAGAAAAGATACATGCCAGGCATGGTGGTTCATGCCTGTAATCCCAGTACTTTGTGAGGCCAAGGTGGGGAGATCACTTAGATCAGGAGTTCAAGACCAGCCTTGTCAACATGGGGAAACCCCGTCTCTACTAAAACTTAAAAAAATTAATTGGCTATGGTGGTGAATGCCTGTAGTCCCAGCTACTTGGAAGGCTGAGGCAGGAGAATCACTTGAACCTGGGAGGTGGAGGTTGCAGTGAGCCGAGATTGTGCCACTGCACTCCAGCCAGGGCAACAGTGACTCCATTCTAGCCCTCCACTCCCATATAAAGGATACATAATAGTGTCTATAGTAGATACTGTGCTCCCATATAATTTTTTAAGATGCTAAAAATTAGCCCAGAAAGCACACATTAAAAAGATAATAATTTGGCAACGTGTGGGGAGAAGTAAATGGCAATGGGCCATAGAGGTGGATTATGTTTTAAAGTTCCCAAATTCTGAACCAAATAAGTGCACACAATATTAAAATTTTAAATAACCACTGCAAAAGAAGAAAGAGTAAGCAGAGAATTCAGCTCCTTTGCTGGATCTTAAATGTTTATAAACGTTTTCCAGTGGGGCCTCTAGTGTTTTCTAAGTGGAAAATCATTATCTGCCAAAATGATACATCTGCTCCCACATTTCAAATTATATGACTCTCTTTTTTCCCCTTGCCTAATTGAACGTTCTGGTATCTCTAGTACCATGCTAAATAAGAGCAAAACATTGGATCTGGGTATTTTGTTTTTTTACTCATTTGCATTTGAGTTTGCTTTCTTGCCATAGACAGTGTTTATTTTTATGCAAATTTGTTAACCTTTTACCGCTGGCTTCTGGGTGTTTTCCTCAGAGTATTTTTAACTGCTTGGCTAAATTTTCCCTGATACTTTTCTAATTGTCTGCTTCTCTAATTGTTTTCTGCTTTTGAAAATTCTCAAATGTTTGATCCCCATGGAGTTTATTTTGTGACAGGGAGAAAAGGTCTCATCTGGAAATAGAAAAGGTGGAGAGTTGTGTCTTCGTTCCCTTGATAATGATCGGGGCTGGGGTGTTTCCTTAGGGACGACCTGGCCCAGCTGCCCTTCCTGACCATGTGCCTAAAGGAGAGCCTGCGGTTACATCCCCCAGCTCCCTTCATCTCCCGACACTGCACACAGGACATTGTTCTCCCAGATGGCCGAGTCATCCCAAAAGGTGCCCACAGCCTCAGGGGGAGGAGCCTCCCAGGTAGGAAGATGGGCCTTTCAGGGGATCCTGGTCCTGACTGCCCCCTTCTCTCCCACAGGCATTATCTGCGTCATCAATATTACAGGGGTCCATCACAACCCAACTGTGTGGCCGGATCCCGAGGTGCTGCCTTCCTCATTCACCACCACCACTCCCATCCTCTACTCTTTTTTTGCTTTGTTTTTTTGTCAATTCCAATGTTCCTAGTGGAAGGGGCAGGGTTTTGATGAGGAAAATCCAACATCACCTCGCCCCAACACACACATTTGTCTCTCCAACAAGGTTGCTGGACCTAGGAGATCCCACTCAGCAAACCTTTATCTCACCTGCAGGTCTATGACCCCTACCGCTTCGACCCAGAGAACAGCAAGGAGAGGTCACCTCTGGCTTTTATTCCCTTCTCCGCAGGGCCCAGGTAAAAGCGCCCTGTGCCTGAGGTAGGGATGGGGTGATGGGTGCGGGAGTGGAAAAAGGGGGACATTGTAGATGGTCCTAGTTCCAGATCTTCCTTCCACTCCTTCACAGTTTATGGGAAAACGTCCATGGAATGGGGATGAGTAGGTCCTAGAGGAGTCCGTGGAGTGCTCAAAATCCCCTTCTCCATCTGCTGGTCTGAGCTGGGAGCTGGAGTCTGGCCCAGGCTCCAGGACATGCAAGCCCACATGGGGGTCCCAGGCACACTTAGCCCCTCTCTATATCTCTCAGGTTGAGCTGGGTGTGGTTGAGGGGTCCCGGGTCAGGTTCCTGGAGTGATGGGACCCAAATGCAGGTCTTGGGTGCAGTTACAGTCCACTCTCCCGCCTGCAGGAACTGTATCGGGCAGGCGTTTGCCATGGCGGAGATGAAGACGGTCCTGGCACTGTTGCTGCTGCACTTCCGGTTCCTGCCAGACCACACTGAGCCCCGCCGGAAGCCGGAGCTGATCCTGCGCGCCGAGGGCGGGCTTTGGCTGCGGGTGGAGCCCCTGAACACAGGCTTGCAGTGACTCTGTGATCCATCCACCTTATTTTGCAGATTCTCATGAATAAAACGGTGCTGTCACGTCTGCCTGGGCCTCACTGACTGCCAACAGGGGGCTCTTGGGGATTGGGAGGCTTCAGGGTGAGGTCTAACCTCGGTGGGTTGGGCGGGGTGTTGTCTCTGACCCCAAGAACATGACTGCCTCTTTGGCTGAGCATAGGGCCTCCATGCCTATAGCAGGGCCTCTCAGAGCCCAAGTATAGACTTTATCCTGTGGACAATAGGAGCCATGGGAGGTTTTTGAGCAGGAGAGGGACCAGGATGAAGAACGGATTTAAGAAGCGAGACGGAGGCTCAGTCAGTGAGAAGCAACCATAGAGGCAGATCCTTACTTCTGGTCTGGGAGTGTCCCAAGACTGAGATCCCTGTCCAGTTCAGAACATAGGGATAGAATGGTGCAGCTTTTACCCTGGCAGGCTCTCAGGAATTCTCAGCTTCCTTTCTTGCCAACCTCCCACCCTACGTCTCCCCTTTCCAGTTGATCACTTTTCTGACCCCCTTTCCCTAACTTCAGGCAGCTCCATTTTTTCCTCTTTTGAGCCATCTGACTCTGCCCAGGCAGCCCGTCCATCAGGTACTACCTGAATCCTCCCCCTACTATCTTCTGTTATGTGCCAGGCACTCTCACAAGTGTCAGATGTTGGGCACGTCCTCACCCTTTCACCTCTAGATTCCTCCTTCATTCCCATCACTCACCCATCTTGGGGTCAGGACCTTTCCTTTTGACCCTTGAGATTCAAAGCCAGATGATTGGAAACAAAACACCACCCCAAACGTATGGGATCTGGAGCCAGACTGTGGTGCTGAAGTTTCACATTTGCTGTGTGACTTGAGCCAGTTAATTCCCCTCTATGCACTTCAGTTTCCTCAAACATATAATGCGGGCAACAACCTACCTCAGGGTTGTTCTGAAGACAAAGTTTGAGGAACTCGAAACTGTGCCTGGTACACATTGGATGTTTAATAAATGAGGCCATTATTACCTTCTCTCTGAGAAAGTCTGGCTAATAAAGCATGTTGCCTTTCGAGATAGTTTTTTTCTACCATGACTTTAAAGACTGTCTTGGAACTCATAGGCAAAAATTCTGATATTTATGCTCCTTGAATAAGCTCCTGGTTGCCATGGTGCTTCATTGATGATAAGCACACATGCAAGTGTTGTCTAGAGTATGCAGGATAAGGCAAAAGATAGTTTTTTTTGTTTGGAATTTTATAGCATAAACATAGGTTAAAACTTCTTCCAACCATGTCACCTTTTGACCTTGCGAGTCCATGATCTCTACTTTTCTAGAATGAAATCTCTTTCAGTGTTGACCACATTCCAGCACCAGCAGGAAGCACAGGTGAGGGCACTATGAGTAGCATTAGAAGAGAATTCACACTGTAAAAATAATATTCATTTCTCAGTTAGTGGAACCAATGGCTATAACCAGAAAACCAAAAAAATGATGCATCCATTGGAGGCAAGGGAGTACATATCCTAGAATGACCCATTGACATTGCAGAGCAACTGTGTCAAAAATGCTTGGAGGAGAGATGAGGCTATCTTATTAGGACATATTACAGACCTATTATTAAGATATACTAAGCCCTATTACCAACCTCCTTTTTTCTCTCTTCCTCCCTTTGCCAGATTTTGCTCCAAATTCTTAGTTATTACATTTCCTGTACAGATAAAAAAAATTTAAAGAACTCCCTTTTTACTTGACACCTGCTTTCTCTCTGTCTTCCTCTGTCTGTCTCTCTCTCTTTATTCTGTCTATGTCTCTGTATCTCTCGCTGTCTTCTATCTCTGTCTCTGTATCTCTCTCTCTTTCTCCTTCTTGGTCTCTCTCTACTTTTGCATTCTGACATCCTTCACTCAACTCCACATATTAATATCCACACCCAAACTTAGGATATATCTCTCCCAAAGACAGTGAGGAACTTTATATAAGAACCAGTTTCTCTGAGGGAAGTAGTTTATTTTCCTTTGTACATTTCTTCTAATTAAAAGGATAATATTTATAAAACACTGGACACAGTGCCGATGCATAGAAAAAACTTAATGCTAGGTGGCATTTATGACTATCATGTTATTCTTACTTTTTCTTACACTAGGGGAAAATAAAATATATTTTGCCGGTCCATTCAAGAAGAACCATGTTCATAAGTGCCCAGACACATCCATGTGATGATCCCCACCTGTCCATAGATAGAAAACACATTTCTAAGCACAGATAATAGGATAAAGTTCACAATGGCTCATAAACAAGAGATTGTGATCACTTGAGGCTAAGCAAAAAGGGATAAGAAACAATAGCTAGTATGTATCAAATAGATATTTTCACATACCTGAACCCTTACAACAGTCCTATGGAGACAGACATTATCTTCAGCTCTTCTATTATATTTTATCACCACCAAATTGGCACTCAGGAGCTTAGAAGACAGAATTTTCTGTAAAAGTTTTTATTTATGGCATTCTTCAGCTTCTTGTTCCTTAAGCTGAAAATGATTGGGCTAAGGAAGGGGGTGAAGACAGTATAGGTGGTGGCCATCAAGGCATCACTGTACATAGAATGAAAGCCCTTGGGCTTGAGGTAGAAAAGGGAGGGAAAACTATAGTGCGTGACCACCACAGTGAGGTGGGATACACATGTGGAGAAAGTCTTGTGCCGGCCCTCAGCAGAGGGAATCCTCAAGATGGCAGCCACAATGAAGACATAGGAGAGGATGATGAGTAATAAACAGCCTATCAGGGCTGTGACACACACCAGCATCACACCCATGATGACAGATGATGTCTTGTTCCCACAGGCCAACTTCAAAAGGGAAAGCACATGACAGGCAAAATGGTGGATCACATTAGACCCACAGAAACTGAGGTGGAAAACTATCATTGTCACCATCATCCCCATGACTGAGCCACCAGCCCAGGTCCAGGCCACAAGACGGGCACAGTCATGGGGGCTCATGAGCACGTTGTAACGCAGTGGGTGGCAGATGGCCACGTAGCGATCATAGCCCATGACCATGAGAAGGAAGGAGTGAGTGAAGCCAAACATGAAGGAGAAGAACATCTGACCGGCACAAGACACAAAGGTGATGGAATGATGGGTGGAGAGCAGATCAGCCAGCATGCGAGGGGTGATGGCAACAGTGAACAGAATCTCAGAGATGGAGAGGGCACACAAGAAGAGGTACATGGGTGTGTGGAGTCTGTGTTCAATCCAGATTGTGGCCATGATGAGAAGGTTGCCCAGCAATGCGAACAGGAACATCAGGAGAACAACAGCAGGAACAAGACGGGCAGGAGCTGCTGGGGGAAGGCTGAGAAGCCAAAGAGGATAAATTCAGACATGGTGCTGTAGTTCTGAGCAGGCATGGATACTGCATCTGGTGAGATTAGAAACAAAATTAAATGACAGTGGTTAAAACACAGACTCTAGCACACACCAAATGGCAACTCAACAGCTCCATGCTATTCAACAACTGGCAGAATTTTCTGGGTCTCACTTTCCTCATCTGTAAAATGGAGTAAACAATAATAGTTCTTAACATTCAGCAATGTGACAAAGATCAGATGAGATCAATATATTAGATGATCATGTCAGATTTTGGCTACTAATTGGGTTTCTATTAACACCGACTGACATAAAGGAAACGTTCAATACTTGGAGCCATTAGAGACAGGCATAGATGATCAGGGTCAGAGTCTCTTGATAGTGTGCCAGTTTTAGAAGACATGTATTTTGATCTTGGGGTTTAAAAGTTTTTTTCCTGAGAGTCTTTATCTTTTAGTGCTTATTTAACTCAATTACCTTTATTTTAATACTGATTTATTGATACTCATTTATGCCATCCTATTTCAAATTGTATATTTGCCATTCTAAAAAATCTGAATAGAAAATTTGAAAGAAAAGGCTGGATACATACCTGTCAGACAAATATGCACCAAATGAAAGCTGAGGTTGCAATCTTAATAATAAAAAAAGGCGGAATTTATGGAAACAATGATCACAATGTCTCTAACACCATATGCCACTCCAGGGAACCAGAGTTCCTTGAGACATGGCTGATCTGTGGTCTGGACACAGAAGAAAGCCTTAGACACCTTGTACCAGTGTGAAATGAAACTTCCACTAAGTAATGGGGTAATATTAAAAGCCTGGAGGTTCTAGATTGAAAAGATGCCCACTAGCCAAAAAGGATAATCATTGTACAGAAGATGGAGGAATAAGCTAAATTACACCATGAAGAAGCTTTCAGAAAAACAGAAGGATAATTCCACAGAACAATTGGTCTGGTCTCATTGATAAAGGCTCATTCAAAGGACAAGAGAAATTCGAGGACATAACCACTGGATGCAACATAGGAGACTAGTTGAATATTGATTTACATAACCAGCTGTAAGTATTTTTAAGGCAATAGAGAACATTTTGATTATAGTATGAATGAATGATTAGGTATGAGTAATATTAAGGCATTATTATTGATCTAATTACCAATTATTTTAGAGACAGTTCTCACTCTGTTCCCCAGCTTAGAGTAGGATTATGACTCACTGCATCCTGGAACTCCTGGGCTCAAGCAATCCTCTGCCTCAGCCTCCTAAATAACTGGGACTACAGGTGTGTGCCACGTCAACTGTCTAATTAAAAAATTTTTAGAGACAGGGCCTCACATTGTTGCCCAAACTAGTTTCGAACTCCTGGCCTCAAGTGATCTTCCTATCTCAGCCTCCCAAAGTGCTGGGATTATAGGCATGAGTCACTATGCCCAGCTAATTATTTTTTTAAAGTGCAATCTGGTTACTTGGTCTATGGAGAAAAATGTATGGTTTTTTGATGCATGAAATTCTGTTTTGTAAAAAAAAAAAATATATATATATATATATTCAAGCCTGGCACGGTGGCTCACGTCTGTAATCTCAGCACTTTAGGAGGCCTAGGTGGGAGAATTGCTTGAGCCTAGGGGTTGGGATCAGCCTGGCGAACATAGTGAGACCCCATCTTAAAAAAAAAAAATCTTGGCTGGGGCACAGTGGCTCATGCCTG